GCCAGGATGGAACAAATTTTGAATAATTTCTCTCCTCTTGCCACCTCAATAGCTATACTATCTTACCTATTTTGTTTGTCAAATTGTATTTGCCAGATCCCATTTCATACTTCTACCAAATGTAGAAGATGACAAGTGTGATGAAGCTTGAATCCATGTCTAACTGTCTTTGATGTTTTTAGATAAATATTGTTTTGTGTAAATTTGGGAATATTGAATTGATCAGATGAATGAGAATAAGCATACACATTTAAATCTATTTTATTACTATGAAAAGGTATATTTTGATGACTTCAACTGCATTTCTTAACTGTTGAAGTATTAATCCTAACATTCTCAATGTAAATACAGATTTTGAAGAAAATAGAACTGTAATTATATTACATTATGCTCACAAATACAAGTATGCTACAATAACCATCTTTGGGGAATTATATTTTACCTTTTCAGGATTTTGTTTATATCTTGGAAGTCAGTGACTTTAGTTACATTATGAATAAAGATGGATTCTTTACTGTGGAAAAATTATATTCCATAGAAAACATTATTAACATACAAAAGTGGGTAACAGAGATAGACACTTTGAAAATATAAGAAGAAAGTGTTCTTGTTCATTTTCAAAAGGGATGCACATATTGCATTCTAATTTTACTTTCTAGAAAACTCAGTTTATTACAAAATTTAGCATGGTTACTTTAAATTTAGGTTTTATCAGTGTTCTATAATATGCAGCATTGTGATAGTATTCCTTTTATTTCAATTTGATCATTGCAAAGAAGTGATTTTGAAGCTATCAGTTACTCATAAGAGTGAAGAAAAATCTATGGGACAGTTCACTAACAAACAAACACTTGCCCTAAATAATTCAGGGAGATTAAAAACTGAACCTTAGTTGAAAATAAAATGGAAAACATCAATAGAAAATTAGTGCCTGACACCAAATTTAATAGCAAAATGAAATATTCAAATTATTGAAAACAAAGCTGAAGTTTAATTCTGGGGTGCAGAACATAAAAATGTAAAACCAACATGTCAAGGACAAGGTGACCTCCAAGAATCCTGTAAAAATTGAGAACTACTATAGTTAGTAATATTATAAAAAATCTCACCAGGCGAGAATATAAGATTGGTCTCTGGGAAGCAATTCTGGTCAAAGACTCCATTTCCCAAACAAGATATAAGAAATACAATACATGTTACTTTTGGAGAATACAGATACCAAGGAATCATATTTGAAGTATATTTAACTATTCAAAGTGAATCACTGTCTTTTCCTCTACCACGAATACTGGTAATTATTTAGGAAAATTTAATCCTGGGTCCTATGGACTATTCAGGGATAGAATAATACCAATATCTTAAACTCCCATCATATTTTTTGTTGAAAAAAGATTGTGAAAAGATGGACAGATGGCCTATGTGGTTGTGATTACCTGAGAGAGTGTCCTGTTAAGGACAGGAAATCTAATAATTGCCAAGATTGAGTGTTCCACTATTAGAAGGAATGTTAGAAACAGAATAAGGAATATTTTCTTCTATATCAAAACTGTATTACTCTTACTTACCCTGTCATACATGCTATATTGTTCAACCAAGGTAACCATGGTGCTCTTCAAGGAGTTGCAAAGGTATGGCTCAGAGATAGACAAGAGTATCATCAAAGAGAAGGCTTAGTAGAATGAATATTATTCTTTCAGAAAGAAACGTGAGTAAATATTTACTTGTAAAATAGTGGCATCAATATCAGACACAATAATTATTTTAAGTGCTTCTAACTTGATAAAGTAGAAATTATTGCTAAAATAAATATAAGATTAGGGGCCGGGGAGAAGGCTCAGTGGAATAAGCACTTCCCTGGCAAGTGCAAGGACCTGAGTTCAATCCCTGGTTCTGCCAAAAATAAATAAATAAATAAAAAATCTATCACTAAACAATGTAATAGGTATCTTTAAACCATACTAGTTATTTCCTGGAATTGAGGTAATCCTTTAGAATTAAATAATAATTCACAACTACAAATTAGTTTTGAGTAATCTGATATTATT